AACCTAAACATTAAACTTTTAAACCTCAAACTCTAAACCATAAACCTCAAACCCTAAACCATAAACCTTCAAACCCTAAAGCCCTAAACCCTAAACCTCAAACCCTAAACCTTCAAACCCTGAAGCCCTAAACCCGAAGCCTCAAACCCTAAAACCCTAAGCCTCAAACCTCAAACCCCAGATCCACCGGCCTCCTTTGGGGGGGCCGTGGGCCCCGGAACGGAGGGTATCCGGGGACCCGGTTCGGCCTCGCACATTTCTGAGGTTAAGGTTTAGGGGTTTAGGGTTTACGGTTTAGGGTAAATCCTACTTGGAGGGTCATGGGTAGTTATAGTTATAAGGGTCCCATTAAAAGGATCTATAGGGATTCTATCAGGGTATAGGGTTTTTTTGTTCATGGGTAGTTATAAGTAGGGTTACAAGGCCCCAAATAGGGGTTATAAGTATAGTTACCCTACTTCTAACCCCAGTTATAACTACCCATGAACCTCCAAGTACAGTCTACCTTAACCTACCAAAACCTACTTTTTGTATGGCCCCTATAAAATCCATGTTAGGGTTTGGGATTTATAGTAAGGAACTAAAAAGGTAGGGTTTGGTAGTTTGAGGCATTACCATACAATTATGGTCGATTATGGTATATGTTACAGTAGATTATCGTATGTTCTAGTGTGTTCCAGTGCAATCTACTACAACATTCCAGCTACAATCTACCGCGGCGACGGATTTTCGAAATGCAGGCTTTCAAGATATCTGCTAAACCCTAAACCTGTGAAGGTTTCGGTTTAGGGACGTTATGGTCCAGGAGTTTGGCATCACGGTGCGCGAGTGCACAATGATGTAAACAAACATAGGGGGTCTGAAGAAGTAGCACGAATATTTTCAGACAGGTGTGATATACATATAATACCAGGAAATTAGGTACATAAAACAGGCTTCAATATACAGCTGTTGGGAGTGGGGGTTCAAACTTCGGTCGGCACTCAGCCCTGAAAACCCCAACCCTGTACCTCAACACCAAATCCAAAGCCATAGAGTCTAAACCCTACACCCTATGGTATAGAGTCTAAACCCTAAACCCTATGCTATAGAGGCTAAACTATACACCCTATGCTATAGAGTCTAAACCCTAAACCCTATACTATAGAGTCTAAACCCTAAACCCTATACTATAGAGTCTAAACCCTAAACCCTGTACTATAGAGTCTAAACCCTAAACCCTATACTATAGAGTCTAAACCCTAAACCCTATACTATAGAGTCTAAACCCTAAACCCTGTACTATAGAGGCTAAACCCTAAACCCTATACTATAGAGTCTAAACCCTAAACCCTGTACTATAGAAGCTACTGTAAACTCTACACCCTATGTTATAGAGTCTAAACCCTAAGCCCTATGCTATAGAGGCTAAACTCTACACCCTATGCTATAGAGTCAAAACCCTAAACCCTATGCTATAGAGTCAAAACCCTAAACCCTATGCTATAGAGGCTAAACTCTACACCCTATGCTATAGAGTCTAAACCCTAAACCCAATGCTATAGAGGCTAAACTCTACACCCTATGCTATAGAGTCTAAACCCTAAGCCCTATGCTATAGAGGCTAAACTCTACACCCTATGCTATAGAGTCTAAACCCTAAACCCTATGCTATAGAGGCTAAACTCTACACTCTATGCTATAGAGTCTAAACCCAAAAACCTATGCTATAAAGGCTCAACCCTAATTATCGGCCTTCGGCCCTGAACGCCAGCCGACCCACACACTCAAATTAGTTTTCAGCCTTCTCTATACCCCCCCGTAGAACCATAATGAACATGGTATGTTTTAATATTTAATATTCTCTTGGGTTATTATCCGAAGAATTCCGAAGGAGACTATAGTTCTAGGGACCAGGGTCTCGGTTCGAGAGAGTAGCCGACCCTTTTCCAACCCGTAGGGTTTAGGGGTTATAAGGTGTGGGATATAATCATAATCCTTTTAGGGTTTTGGGTTTAGGGTCTAGGAAAGAATTATAGTCCTTGGTCTTGGAATATTATAGAAGACTTCTGACGTTCCCGAGGTAGGCGCATGCAAGCTGGGCTGCGTCGTCTCCGTTGTCGTGGCTGCTGTCCACGGCGGAGCTGGCAGGGGGTTTCAGAGATTCCACTCCTTAAGCCAGCAACAGACCTTGAATGGTAGTATATTGGGATCTGCATCATGGCTACAAAATTTTAGGTGTATACTTTGCAAAACATTCCAAGAAAGCCGTACAATAATGATTATGCTATTGATTCAAATATGGTTATGTCAGCAGATCCCCTTTTCCAGTTGCTGCCTCGGGATTTAAGCCAAGGTCAGCATAAACCTCCAAACCTAACCCCCAAATCCAATCTGAAGCAAGCTCAGCAGGAGGAATCGGATCGGGTTAGGGCCTTCCGGGAACCCAGAAGGGACCCTAGTTTTGACAACCACCCAATTCAATGGAGTTCTGTTTTAGGGTGCGGTTTCAAAGAGCGGGGGCCTACAAAGGGACTCTACCTTACAGAACTGCCCACATGGTTCCGGGGTCCAGGCTCAACTGAAGACAACATGCAGGAAGTATCTTATGTGATATGTGTCGGTGCAGGCAAGCTTGGCGGTGAGTTCTGGTTCAATAGCGACCCGAGCGACTCCCAGCCCCATAGCAGTCTGGGCCCACCTAAACCCTAATCTGCGACTAAAACATTTTCGATAACAGTGATAAAGTGGGTGCAGAGACGCTCAATAAATCACCCTGCCAACTAGCCAAGGCCCAACGTGTCCCAAGTACCTACATAGTAGAATGTAGGATTTAGGGGTTTAGGGTTTAGTGTAGGGTTCCTATAATAGGAACTACTATGGCTTGAGAAAGTATCCCCCCCCCAAAAAAAAAGTACGTAGAACCTTCTGGAAAAGGCCCAAACCATCCTCAAAGTCCGAAATCCCTGTTTAGGTTTTAGGGTTTAGGAGGGTTTAGGGTGTAGGGTTTAGCGTACACACCGAAAATGCATCATAGGTCATAGGCCCTCAATAGGCCGGTTCTCTTTTAAAAGACAATAGGGCTTCGGGGTACTATTGCATACGCCTACTAAGACTTACTAAGAAATCTAAGGGACGGTATTCTTAGTTGTTCAACCTTCTATATTACACGCCAAACCCTCACCCCAAAATAAACCCCCAGCCCTATATAAATCCGAATCCCTCAGCCCTAAACCGAAACCCCATAATCTAGGAGCCTTAATGATTAGAACAGGGCTGCGGGACCCATTATGCTACAATGAGTTGTTCTAGGGAACCCAAAAAAACAGTATTGGTACGTATTTCGACCTTTGTATTATAGTACCTCTACAGATCCCTTCTACGAGGCCTTATAGACCCATCTAAAGGAACCCTAGTCTACACTAAAGCCCATTAAAATAGCCATTATACCATCGGGGCCCCCGTATTATAGACCCCTATTATAGATCCCTTAGAGAACCCTTAAAAGAGCCCTATTCTACCCATTATAGATCCCTTGTAGAACCCTTAAAAGAGCCCTTAAAGGAACCCTATGCTACATACTACAGGGAAATCCAGAAAGTTGGAATATGGTTTCAGGGTAGGATACCCTATAAATTACCATAGAAGGGTTAGGATAATCATATTCCAACTTTCTGGCTTCTACCTTAAGGGAACCCTATTCTACCTATGAAAGCTCCCGGTTGAGAGGGGCCTGTGAGAGGCGCCTCCGTAGGCTCCGCCTCACGGAAAGTCTTTCAGGGCTTTTGGTCTGTGGTGTGGGGATTCAATTACAATAAGGTAAAAGCCAGAAAGTTGGAATATGATTATCCTAAGCCTTCTATTGTAAATTATAGGGTATCCCACCATGAAACCATATTCCAACTTTCTGGAGTTCCCTGTAGGGTTTAGGGTTGGGGGTCTAGGATTACGGTTTAGGTTTTAGGGTTTGGGGTCGAGGGTTGAAGGATTGACTATTCGGGTTTAGGGTTTAGGGATTAATGACTTACTGGGTTTAGGGTCTAGGGATTAGCTAGTAGGGCTTTGGGTTGAGAGTCTAGGGCTTAGGGACTAATTACTGTTTAGGGTTTATGGTCTAGGGCGTTGCGGGGCTCTTGCGCTCTAGAAAAGAATGTCGAAAGCCCAGCGGTTAAGGTTTAGGGGTGGTGAGTGTATATAGTGTACGATACTTGGAGGATCATGGGACTTAGTAAGTCAGGTTATAAATACCTCAAGTGGGCTTATAAGTATAGTTACCTTATTTATAACCCCAGTTACCAAGTCCCATGATCCTTTAAGTGGTTCTGAGCAGGATCTTACACGTCTCCAGATGTTCCCGAGTCTACTACTTACTACTGCTACGACTCTCCGAAGTACGGTCGGGGAGTGTGATAAAAAATTTTATTTATTAAGAAATTAGAGTCTCGAGCTTTCACGGATTTAGAAATCCAGGGTCTCATCCCGGCATTATTATTGTTATTACTATTATTGGTATTACTATTTCCGTTATTGCTTATTGAAACCCTCATATGGATATCTTTACAATCGTAAACTCTATTCTGCAACCCTAAATACTAAACACCCCACATCCAGCAGCCGGGGGCGACTTTCCGTGCCCCCCCTCGGCTGAGCGAGATCCACCAACGCCTGCCAAGGGGTTGGATGCGGGGGGTCTGGGTCTTAATAAATCAGAGTCTGCTTTAAAAACACTTCAGGGTTTTGTGTAATTGGGGCTTTGTGTGCTTCCGGGCTCAAAGGTTTTGTGGGGTTGCAAGGGATTTGGTTGGATTTGGGCTTGCAGAGGACAGCAGCTGAAAACAGCCCTATCTTGGCGAGATAGGGTTTTTCCTATTTTGGAAAACAATCATGATTTGGCATTGCGTGTTCACTGTTCTGCCAGGGCATGGATGGTTCAGTGGAGCAGGCTTCGGGCTCTAGGTCGCGGGTCCACTGCTCAGACCCTCAGACTCTCCTCTTTGCTGGCACGTCTGTGAAACTGGCTGTTACAGCTCGCTCTTGCTTGGCAGCTGCTTTCCTTCTTCTTCTGCCACTTCACGAAGCAGGCTCCGTACCACAAGACATCCTTCCAGCCGCTTTGGGTGCAGAAGCGGGGACTTCAATCTGGCATGTGCCGCCAGTGTCCGCAAACCCTGCTCAAGCTTGCCTTTTGCCTTTGCTGACTGGACCAGCTCACGAGTTTCTGCTTTGGTCAAATTCCTGCCCATGACCGCTGAGGACGCAGGCTCTGGCTTGGAACTGGAACCAGCCTCTGGTTTTGAACTGGAGCACGGCGGCTCTGGCTTTGAGCTGGAAGAAGAACTGCTGCTGCTGCTGCTGGACCCGCTCGACGGCCGTGATCCGATATCCGACCCGGAAGTGGGCGATGAGCTGTCATCATCACTGCATGCAGGAGAGTCCACATCCTCTGCGCCATCTTTCCATTGCGACTCGATGCTCTCTTCCAATCCGGGCCATTGCCTGTACGGCTGGAGCGAGAACAATGGCGAGGCTTCCACCGTGATTTTGCTGTCACCAACAGAGTCGAGCCGAACACCCAATCCTGAGCACGCCACACAGTTCGTGTGTTGTTGCCTCTTGGTTGCCAAATATCGTCTCCAGACCTCGCCGACCCAGAAGGTAACATATATCCTTCTGTCCCGCGCTGATAAATGGCGAAAACCATCCCAATTATCCAGCAGGTACTCCATTTGGACCTCTTCGAAAAGCTGCTTGTGCATGCGGCCGACATGTCTATCGATGAGCTGACAGACGTGGGTACCGCCAGGTTCCGTGTGGAGGATTTCTGTGTCGTGTGCGCGCATTTCTTTGCGCCATTGCTTGCGAGTCTGGCTGACATGGTTGTCCATAGTCAAAAGCATGGGCACACCAAATTGACCACACCTTGCTCCACTCAGCATTGGCTTTGTCGCATAGGTATGCTTTGGGGGTGAAGATGACTCGGACGTCCCTGTCGTAACTTGCTCTTTCCAGGGCACTGATATTCCCAGCTCCAAAAAAGTACAAGACTGGCGGCGGTTGCTTTTGGCTCAGGTCACAGCTGTAGCACATGTCCCATGTGAAAAAACGCTTTGCCCACGCCGATGGTCCTGTAGAGACGTGGATGCAACCTGATTCCCGCTCCTCCAGACTGGACCAGGTTCGTCCAGCTGCACTAAAGTCGAAGGAAAAACCGACCTGGTCGCGATTGTATCTGGCACTGAGCTTGTAGAACCCGTACTCAAGGTGCGGCTCCGGCATGAGTGTCTGCTGCTGATTCATTTGTGGCTGCTTCCGAAGTGTGAACCTCAGCTTGTCGCACCACCTCTGCATCATGCTGCAGTCATGCTGCGGGGTGCTCGTCTTCTTCTTTGTGGCGACTCTTGGCCGCCACCCGCGGACAGAGAGCCATCGTCGCACCCATTGCAACTTTGGCTCCCAAGGAAGGTTTGTTCGTCTCACCCTGGGCCATTGCAGGTGATGCTGATCTTTCTGTGCATCGACTCTTCTAAACACTCGCATCGCGAGGGCAAAAGCAACTTTCGAACTCACCTTCCAGCCTTTTTTGCAACACTGCTTCAGTGCCTTCGAGAACCTCTTGTCAAAGTGCAGGACCAACTTGTTCTTTCGAAAGTAGCCCTTGCGAGTCTTCGTGATCTTCGCCTTGCCCTGTTTGGCTGCCGCCTTAAGCAGCTCATCATAGCGACGGCTCCAATTGTAGACCGTGTTGTACGGATACTTCGTGCCAGTGGCTCTGCCCTCATTGTCCACAGGTGGCTGACCGGACTCCCGGCAAGCTTTCCCGGTGTCGACTGCATCCACCATTCCTGGGTGTACTATTCGTGTTTACACAGAAGAACACGGCGCAACACAGGAACCAAGCGAAAGGGCAAGGTAAGGTGAGTTTAAAGGTGTTGCGAATCAGCCAAGGCTCTGCGAGGCGAGACTCGGGGCCTCTTGGTGGCGCCTTTGGTGAGCTTCGGATGGCCAGCTTTGGTCAGTTTGCCCTGCACCGGAGGTTCTATGACTTCCACGCTGTCACTGTCGGATCTGTCATGCAGGGTGGTGCCCCCAAGTTATAACTAAGTTATGATAGTTATAACTAAGTTATACAAGTTATAAGTTAAGTTATGTTAAACTTATAACTTAACTTATAACTAAGTTATAACTTAAGTTATAACTTATGGGTGTTTATTTTCATAAGGTTTTCGGTATCAGTTTCCTGGACTCAAAAAAGTATTTGAAAACGAAATCGGAGTGTCTTTTGCTTCGCTGCGCATGCGTTTCCAGGTCTTTGGTGAGATTTCATTTCTAAATGACACGAATCAGTGTCAGGGTATGCACAGGAAACTGTCATTCTCGCGGCAATGCCACGTTGGCGTGGCAGGCTGGTACAGGTCGCTCCAGAGAACGAAGCGCTTTGGGCCATCTTTATTGAAGATGAGATGTGCTTCATCTTTCCAACTCAGAAGCAAAGGTTGGAAGCAGACATGCAAATCGCCTTGAGGGTCCCGGTAAAAGCAATCACAGAGGCCGGATTGCTGGCATCCCCTGGCAAGGTTCGTCGTGGCTGCATGTCTGAGGGGAAGGAGCAACTGCAATGTTTCCCCCTGGTCGCGGTTTGTTGTAAGCCAAAACGGCTGCGTGGGGGGGGGGACAAACCAGCACCCAAGCCAGAACTACACCGCATGAAGTGAACCTGTTTTGTCGCGAGTCGTTGCAATTGCCCAGTGGAGTGGCATGCTTGCACAATAGGTCTTGGGCGCACTCCGCATCCTGAGCGGTTTTAAATTTTAATTAATAGAGCAGTTCGAATTACATCTCGGATCTATACGTGTAGATCGGATGAAACAGCCTGGGCCATGAGTGCACCCTCATCTGAAGCGGCCTTTCTTGCTTTACGGTCCTGCGAACAATGCAACTGCCTATAACTCATGTATGCAACCAGGCGTGCCGAGATAATTGATCAGTCCTTACGGCCCTTGCGCCCGGCGTTCTTCTTCTTGTGTGACCTGCGAACAAGCAGTTCGCATGTGCTGTAGACTACTTTTCAACACACAGGCAGCAGCGGCCTTGGCGACAGGTCGCAGCTGCAGTCCTTGGACATGCAGTTGCTCTCCATCACACTTCGCCTGCAACGGTGTCGACATGCTTCATTCTCGGAGGGAGGCCGGTTCAACTCGAGCAACTGCACCTGTCGAGGTAAGGCTGCACAGCGCTGAGGTAGCATGACAAACATGCCCTTTCATTTTTGAGGGCTTCCAGAACAGCAATGCAAGTTGCCCTGTCGGACATCTCGCGAGTGCACGGTGTTTGCTTTGAGCCCAGACAGTCCTGTTGCGCCTCTCGCCTCCCCTTATATCTGCTGCTTGCCCTTGCTGGCTTTCAAGCAAGAATCTTTTCCACTCGTGCGGGCAAAAGGTCTGTGAGCGGGTCTCGTGTCTGCGCACGAAGTGACACCTGTGCTTGCAGTAATCGTATGCGTCAAAACTAAATTTGATTGGGCCTGTCGGCTGGCTCCAACCTCCATGGGGCGAGGAAGGTCACCAAGCATGCAGTCAAGGAAAACACTTTACTTGGTCCTGCGAGCCCTTTTCGGGACTGCAGCTTTGGCCTCGATGGCCTTTCGCTTCAAGTCCCGCAAACTCTTGGCGACGCAGGCAGCGTCCTTCGCGAGATGCTGCAGGTCCAAGGGCGTCTGGAAAGACAGCGGCTCCTTGCCCGTCCAAGTCTCTGCGCCCTGAAAAAGCGGCGCCGAGCAGGGCATTGTAGTACATAACTCCATAATATGACGTTTGCTCATGACCTGTGCTCTTAATCATAACTGCAAGCTTGAACCAGAAGCTGTCAACGCAGACGCGCAAGAAACAGCCGCATGTGTATGGAGTACCCGCAGCCATGTCGCATTTCTGAACCTGAACAGTATCAGCAAACACAAAGGTCTCCTTTCTTTTCCAACAAGAGCTCGGATCATGCAGTCCCACTAAAGTGGCGAAAGCAAATTCTGAAGCATTTCCAACGCCGTGTCCAAGGCAGGATTCACTCAGACTCACTCCTGATGCAGTCCCACCGGGTCCACCGTGAATGGTGGCAAAAGCATCGAAACGCTTCAAAAGCAGCACTCGGATCACTCTTCCAGGCGTCGCTTGGTTCCTCGCGGTTCCGACTCCGTGATGTTTCCTTGAGAATCAACATCTCTGGTAACAACGCGGCCGTGTGGCCACCATTGCCACCACCATATCCTCAGAAGGATTCAGGAAACAAGGTAATTACGTTGAGGGTTTCGGGCTTCAAGCGAGATGCGATCGGCCAAGAGTGTCCAGCGAGTGCATCCAGCACCATCTCCATTCTGTCGTCCTCGCAGAGGGCGACCGCGAGCGATCACGATCCATGTTGTCTAAGACAACAGCGAGGGGGAGGGAACACTGGAACAAAACTGCTGCGGAATGGCGCCAATCAAGGCATCACCAGGTGGCCGACATGCAGCAGAACTGGTTTACGCACTACCCCAGCTATGGGGCCTTCAAGGACCGCCTGCGTGGCTATGAGAAAACCAAAGAAGTCAAGTCCGTTGTCTGGTTTACACTATGCTTCGTCAACACCTTTCGGCAGGCATTCTACACTGCAGGTGCCAAAGCAACCGCCATGCTTAAGGACGAAAAGCAGCGAAGAAGCAAGGGCAAGCCAGGCAAGACTAATTTTTTTGACACAAACGACAGCAGCAGAGTACCTTGCACGAGGAAACTTGCAAGATACAATTGTATCGCGGCCCCGGGGGTCACGATACATAGGTTATGGATGGGTTTTCTGTCGAAACGATGTTCTAACATACGTATCGCGAGCCCCTGGTCCGCGATACGTACGTTACGGGTTTGGCCCGCGACAAAAAACGACAACACGCAACATCCACGATACATCAAGTTTGGAACTCAAGGAAGACATACAATGTACACATGTATCACGGCCCGGGGGCTGGAGATACATACGTTCGGGATAGGTTTTTGCCAAGTATCATGCTGGAACATACGTGTCGTGAGACCCCTGGCCGCGATACGTATGAACCGGGACCTCCCGCGCAACAACAAACAACAACACGTAACAACAATAGATTATAGCTTAGGCTTGTTCATATAAATAGGATTTCAACTTCCTTCTGCCTAGCTTTCACGATGCCCGGGCCTTTGCGACTCCGAGCCTCGTAGCTTCAAGCTCAGATGCCTGCGAAGCACTGGGACGACCTAGCTTTTTGTTTTCACTGAGTTCGCGAAGAGCTGCTGGATTATTGTACATAAAGACCGGGACGATGGAGGTGGTGCTTCTTGGCCCTGGGTCTATATATATATATATATATATATGTATATATACTTATATTTGTATAGAAACAAATAGATAATTACAGGTTGGGTGTAGGGATTGGAGTTCAGGGTTTAGGGTTCTGCACCATCTCCATCGCCATTGACACATCATGGTCGCGGCAGCACCGAGGAACTGCTACCGCTGCCCAGGACTCTGTCCGCCACATCGGAAAACAGATCCCGCAGCAGCTGGAACCTGGCATCGCCGCTGCCAAGCTCAGCCTCTGACTTCTGGGCTTTGGCAGGGAGACCCGGCACCTCTTTTGTCTCAAGCGCTTCTGCCTCTTGCTTGACCGGCACCAGCTTTGGCTTGTCCTGTCTGCCTCGCTGCCTGCTGGGCGGCAGACCTTCAGGCTCTGCTGGCTTCCGGTCGTCGCGGTCGCGCTCTGCCAGCACGCCTTCCACATCCTCCCGTGACCGAAGTCGCACACCAACCTTTGTCGGGTGGAGTCCCCAAAGTGCACGTGCAACCTGTCGTCCCTCCCTCTCGTCGATGCCGTGCTTGGCAGTAAGGTGTTGGACAACGGCCCACGGGTCGCCGTTGAAGCCTTTCTTGCAGCCGTGCTTGCCGTGCAGAGGACACCACTTCCACCCGGTCTGGGTGCAGTGGTGTGACTCTTCAGAAGTCACCAGCCCCCAAAGGAGGCGACGGTGGCCGTCACCGTCGCCTCGAGGAGACGGGCACGGCTCCGGTTCCGCCTTGTCCGCCTTGTCCTTCTTGTGGCGTTTTTTTTCTTTCTTTGCCGCTCTCCTGTCTGCCTTGCTCTGCTGTTCCTCCTCCTTTTCTGTGGCGTCTCCCCCCGCCCCGCGCAATCGATCCTCCTCATCCACCTCCCTTTCGGGCGGCCCACGGGCGTTGTCGTGCTCCGACGAACTCCTGTCACGCCTCTTTGCCTGGGCTTCGGAGTGGCTTTCTGTCGGGCTCCTTTCCATCCTTTGCGACGACCGAGAAGGAGCCGAGGAAGCTGTGCGAGACCTGCAGCAAGGCTAAAGGAAAGGCTTGGAGTTTGTGAGCTTGGGTTGGGCTTAAAGGCAGTTAGGGCTGCACCGCTTTGGGGCTTCGGACAGCTCGACCGTCGCCGCCCTGCAACGCAGGGAGGAGAAGGCCGATCTGCCAGCGAAGACAGAAGCGAGCGTCGCCGCCGCCGCCCACGAGTGGCGGAGGAAGAGACGCCTCGCCCCCCGCACTACGCACCCTTAAACTTAAACTTCCTAAACCCCAAGGCAGAAAACTCATACCCTTGGTAGAACTTGGTAGCCCCGCCTCTCGGCAACCATTGCTCCCGACCGCCGGCCTTTCGGGTTTGAGCCCAAGGTGCTGCCAATGAGCGAGACCTGCGTTGGACTTCGCTCTAGTAGCGTGATCTTACATATGTAATTAAACTGCACGCGGGCATACACACGCACCATTTTCAGGGGAACGATTTTCAGTCCATCGTCTCCAAGTCAAGCTTCGCGACGGTGGTGCGC